ATTGTTCCGACGCAGATGCGCAGGTGGAATATGACTCAGGATAGGCAGAAAATGTGTTGGGGTTGTTCTTATAGTCCCGCTGACAATTCGCATCGTGTTATTCAGCTGCACGTCGACTTTCTTCGTATGAGCGCTATTCATCCAGACCGGGGCGCAGTATTCTGCTGTTGAGTATACCAGTCCAAGAGCTGATGTATGGAGCGTGTCAGCCGAGGATCCCCAGGTAGTACCACACAACTTGTGAAGGATATTATTCCTCGTCTTTAATTTGGCTGCAGTGTTTTCCAGATGCCGCTTATAGGTGAGCGTTCTGTCCAATGTGACTCCAAGATACTTTGGATACTCGTTATGTTGGAGACGATTTCCTTCGAAACGGACGTTAAGTCGTCTGCCTGCCGATTTATTACAGAGATGGAAGCATGTCGCTTCGGTTTTTCTAGGGTTTGGTTGCAGTCTCCATTTACGGAAATATGTACTTAAGGTCACCAAGTCAGACGACAAAGTTGCCTCCATTACCTCAAAGTTCTTATGCTGCGTCGCCAAGACCCAATCGTCTGCATATCCCAACTTCCTGGAGGATGTGTGAGGCATATCAGCGATATACAAGCTGAACAGCGATGGGGCCAGGACGGAGCCCTGTGGTAAACCGTTATTTAGGATCCTTTGGGCACTTGTTTGTTCTCCCATTACTACCCGGAATTTTCTGTCAGCGAGCATGTTATCTATAAGTCGGAGAGTTCTCAAACAAGGGATTGTTTGGCCGAGTTTGTATAGTAAGCCATGTCTCCAGACAGTGTCGTAGGCTGCAGACAAATCTATAAAAATAGCTGCTGTTTTAAATATTTTCTTTGATAGCCAGCTTCTATGTATGTTGTTAGTGCCATAACCTGATCTGTGCAGCTGCGCGCAGGGCGGAACCCGGCCTGTTCTATGGGAACTGTCTCAATTATTTTGGTGGCAATGCAGTTATACAGAAGTTATTCTAAGTGCTTATAGATTGAGCTCAGCAATGCCACTGGGCGATAGCTTTCGCTCGGCTTTCCTGGCTTCAATAGGGAGATGATTTTTGATCGTTTCATTTGTTGAGGTATTATGCTGTGTGTTATGATATCTATGAAGAATTTTGCTAACCAGCTTCTTGCATATTTTCCACAGTGCAGTAGAAACTCTTGGTGGATTCCGTCATATCCAGGTGCCTTTCCCGGTTTTTACGTCCTTGAGAGTAATGGTTATTTGGTCAAACGAGAATGGCCGGGAAAATTCCGTTTGGTCGTCACAAGTAGATTTTAGCGCTGTGTGCTCGCGCCTAATCTGAGCTGTGTGAGTTCTATCTCTCGGAGCTTTCGAGGTTGACACTATATGGGAGGCTATCTTGTTTGGAGGTATTGGTGTGTCTTTGTGGGCGCTCTTGTTGCCGTCCCTTAGTTTTCTTAAAAGAGACCAGGCTTTTTTACTAGAAGTCTTGAAGTCCAATGCCTGAACGGTTTCCACCCATCGCCCTCGACGGGCCGCGTCACGACTGTGCAGCAACTCGTCGGCAATTTCTTGGTCGTTGCTAGCGAGAAATGCCTGGTATTGGGTTTCGCATTGCTCGTCCCATCCTGGGATATATTGTTTGCGGTATCCTCCGGGTATGGCCTTCTTTGCGGAGCTTACGACCGCAGCTACAAATCTCGTGTATGAATCTGCTCTAGGAGGGATCCACCTCAGGCACTTATCCAGACTATTAGAGAACATTTCCCAGTTTGCTCTCTGAAAATTCCACCGTGGTCGAGGGAAAGATATTACCAAGGGGATAGTTTTTCCAATCTCTATTAAAGCAGTCGGTGTTGGCTATGTGGAAAGTCTGGTAGGATTTTACGAGATGTTCTTATTGGTATGTTATCTTTGTCTGTGGTCACGAAGCAAAGATCCGGATTATACCCACGTTTCCAGGCCGCCGAAAAAAAGCAATCTCTATCCTTTGCGTCAAATACAAGGTACATGTTATTTTCATCCGCCCAATCTACAAGTGCCTCGCCATTTTCATCGTTATCTCTGTATTTCCATTGCGTATGATGGCTATTGAAATCACCTACATAGATAGATGGACGTTGCAATGGTAGTAGAACTTGTGGTGGCCATGGGACTGCCGGAGGTTTGTACGTGTTATTTATGGTGTAATCTCCTATTTGGATTCTATTTGGATTATTCGGTTATTAGATTGGTTCTATTTGGATTACCACGTCGTACCTTACCTTACGACAAGTTGTTGGCGCAGTGTGGATGGCGTGTGCTGCCAACAGCAGGAGACCAGTGAAATCACACATGGTTAATAACACTCATTGGCAACAACTAAACTTTTGACATGTATGTTGTTGGAAGATGTTGAGTGCAAGTGAACATTTTCGATATTGGACCTCACATAAGTTGCCACACCATAAGCGTGGTGGTATGTGGCCCCGACTAGATCGTAGCCACATATCTTACCCCTCTTCGTAAGCTGCTCCTCATTCTCCGTATGTGTCTCCTGAATGGCAACGACGTCGATGTCGTTTTCGGTCAGGATCTTCTGCAGGACGTCACATTTGGCCCTGCTTATTCCTTCCACATTTAATTGGCAAATCCTGATACAGGGTCCTGATACATTTCGTGTCGTCTGTGTCATCGAGTAGTGATGTGCCTTTGATAGCCAGGAGATCGTTCTGATTGTCTGGCTGCCAGTTAGTGCTAGTTCAATTAGTTCACGTTTTACAACGCTATCCAGGGTGCACCACGGGGAGGCGAACTAGCTTTACACCCCTTAAAGGGGAACTAAGAAACCTAGCTTTACTCACAAACGAGAAAGTCCATAAAATACACGAAAATGGGACACGCTGACTATACAGTATCTGCTAGTAGTAATATATAGAGTAGCTAATAAAAATTTGAAAAAATGCCGCAGAAAAGGACTGTAGAATATGGAAAGAATATTCTTTTGATTACACAATTATTTCTAGATTTTAGAAAATATTAAAATATATTCGAAAAAATAGCTTATGGCCTATGTATTTTAGTATTTGTACTATTCAGTAAAGAACTAAGTAACATTTAATTAATGTCAGTTTTATAGCGTTTCTTTAATTCAAATTTATTTTAGTAATTTTTTCAAGGTACGTAATTAGAAAAATGTGGGTCTTTTAATTTTTAAGGATAGATAAATATAGATATAAGTTTAAATTTTGTTTTTCAAGGTGATTTCATAACAAAACTGAATCTAAATTAATTCAATGTAATCATATTACACATCTAATGCCGGGTCCAGACCAAGCAGACCAAGCAGACAAAACAGCGACAAGACAGAAACATTCATGTTTTACGACAAAATTGCGACAAATCCTGTACATTTCTGCATATATTTTTGTCTCATTTTTGTTTCGTTTCAAGTTTCGGGGACTTTTCAATGTCCCGTCTCGAGTCGGTAAAGATCAAAGTGTCTATGTTTTGTTCGTATATTTTACGACAAGTTGTTGGCGCAGTGTGGATGGCGTGTGCTGCCAACAGCAGGAGACCAGTGAAATCACACATGGTTAATAAAACTCATTCGCAACAACTAAACTTTTGACTTTGTTGTACTTTTGTCCTTACGGTGTGGACAATTTGTCTCAAGTTTGTCTTGAGAAGTCTTGTCTTGTCTTCTTTATTTCTGAAGTAACGTCAATATTTGGATGAAAATTGGTGTCTGGGAGTTTTTTGCCATGAGAAATTTTAATGTCAAAATGACTCCTATTTGTAGGGGGCGCCACCTACATGTGTTTTAACTGTTTTGAAGAGTAAAGCTTTTTCTCCGTACCTGTATAAAACTATTGAGTGAAAAAATATACTTTTCCGTGATTTTCTACGTAAAAAATGTCTCTTGGTAAAAATCGCTACGAGCAACCGTTCTCAAGATATTTACAATGGAAATAGTCAATACATGTCATTATTGACTAAAAATAAACATGTTGAGTAGATAGTTATTTGATTGAAATGAGAAATTTGGGAACTTTTTATTTTTTTAAACTAATCATAAATTTTTCTGCGAAAAAATGATGATAAAACAGTTTCTGTCAAACAGGTTAAAAAATACATAGGTGGCGCCCTCTACAAATAGGAGCCATATTGAGCCATATTGATCGAAATCAAATTTCTCATGTCAAAAAACTTCCAGACACCAATTTTCATCCAAATATTGACGTTACTTTGGAGATTATTTGGAAAAAATCGAAATAAAAATGAAACTTCTACATCCTGTATCTCCGAAACTAATCATTTTAGGACATACATTTATAAGAACTTTTTTACTTATTTATATCTGCAGAATACGTCGCCGAAGTTTCCGGAATACAGTTTGGACCACCCTGTATATAAAATTCTCGTGTCACAGTTTTAAAAACGATACTCCTCCGAAACGGCTTAACCCATTTTAAATTTTATATGTATATTCAGTAGGTCTGAAAATAGGTTGTTATCTATTTTAATACCCCTAAATGATAAGGGTGGTCCACCCCAATTTATTTTTTGGACAAAGTTGTTTATTTTTTTTGGCGTGGCATTAAAAAATACATACAACCCTAAATTTTCACTCTTCTACGATCAACTCCTATTTTTTAGTAGTGATATTAGTAATTCAGTAATTTTCAACCCCGTGAATAAAAATGACTGTTGTCTCATAAAAAAGATTTATATGGCAAAACAACGTTTGCCGGGTCAGCTAGTAGAAATATTTTAACCGAAGATGAATGGTACTTAATGACGTTGCAATGTCATTAAGCAAGTGCAGTCACCTTTTTTGGAATGCAGATATTACATTTAAACTGTTCAACATTTTCTTATTATCAATTAAGGATCATTTTGTATCTTTATAGATTTTTTATCATTAAGATAATTATCAAAGTTAATAAATACCCACACTTATTAATTTTCATTCTTACTTCAAACATATAATTAGCTTTCATATTAATTGTTAATTATGATAATTTAACACGTGATTTTCTTTATAGAATGGTAATCCCCATCGTCCTAGGCGAATATATCAAATTTTACAATAATCCAAAGGAGAGCTTTTTGCATATCGAACAAGGATGGCTGTTAGGTAGCGCAGTAGTGGGTCTCTCTTTTATTAGAATTGTTTTAGAACATTATTGTAATATGGGTGTCCAAAGGATAGGAATGAGAGTCCGAGTAGCAGCCTGTTCACTGATATACAGAAAAGTGAGTTATATAATTGAAATTAATCTTCAATATAATTTACAGAGCTATTAACAATGATTGAAATAGTTGGCAATACTGTGTTAGAGGATTTTAGCTTCTCTGATTTTAGTATTAATGATTGGTAACTTAAACAAATTATACATCAAAAAATGTTAGCAAATTATGTTATGTCAATTCATTAACATCATTTTTTTTAAATTTATTTTTATTCCAACGAGCAAAATCAGAATAGCCAACTAATTCAATTATTGATGATCGCTCCGTACATTAACGTTTAAAGAAATATGGAATATAGTACAGGTATAGGAGTTCTTGTACCATCTCAAGGGCGTTTATGGTTGAATAAGCTACAACTTGTGTATAAATTGGTAGCTTATGATATTAAATTTTAGTATCTATTTGATAACTGAAAGTGACATAACTATTCGAAACGCTGTTTAAGTGATATAATTGTCAATAGTGATATAATTATCTGAAATTTTTATTTCAAACGAAACATTATCTACCACCCTTAAATAAATTATGTATTTTTTACATCTCTATATATGATTTGTCTCCAATTACATCTACAGATGATTTTTTACATAAAATATTTGCTCTTATCATAGAGGACGAATCATTTTATATAATTAATTGCCAAAAATGTCTCTACATGCCTTTTGGATAGAAAATTACACATATCAACCACAATACACAATAAGCTTTTACAAACTCTGGACGCATGTTTTGCTAGCTATGTTTACCATGATTAGTAGATGATTAATACTAAGTTTTAAGATAATTTTAGATTGATTTCAGATCTGTTGATAATACTAATAATAGTTACAGAAACGTGCTTTCATAGTTCAGTTAAGTGTTTGATATATTACCGCTTATTTCCGTAATTTTCTAAAAGTTCTAATCTAAATTTGATAACTTGAGGAAATTAATCACAACCAAATATTTAGTAGAATTATCATCATTTTTCATCTTCAATATTTCTTTTTGAGAAATTGTATTGTAATAAATCTTCCTGAATTTTTAATTATTTAATAGTCCAGAAGTACTACACATTAACCATAATGACATAAGAATAATTTTGAAGATTGATATACAGCATTTTTATAATTTTAAAGTAACACGAATTAAAAAAGGTTTTATACAGTATGTCTCCGAATTGTCTTTACAAGAATAAACTGAACTAAAAAATAACTTTTTTATTATCGACAATACGAGATAAATTCATTCTTTATAAAAAATTTTGCTTGTTCTAAAATTGTTAATCCCGTTTATACTTTTTCAAATTTCCATACGGTTTTAGAGAAAATTAGAAAAAAAATTTCCTAAAAATCAAAAGGCAAAAGGTAATACTATTTCGTTTTCATTCTTTGATAAATTTTTGTTGATAAAAATCTTTTTAACTTCACATGTTTTGCTGTTTTAAAATGTTAAAGAAGCATACAAAATTTATTTAGTTTAATCACAGTTTAAAGAATATTAATATATCAGTTGGCCCACTCTAAGAAATTCTATTGTTATTTTGGCTTCAAAGGCGGCCCGTGACCCGTCGAGGTGACAAAAAATTTGTACGTTTACCGGGTGCAGCGGAAGTGCTATTTTATCAGTCAGAACGCTGGCCGTATAAAATACTAAGGAATTTTAATATAGCAAGTAGAAAAATAAAAATACAGTACTAGTTTTATTGATTAACAGTTTTAGGCGTCTTTAATAATTGATCAATATTTATTAGTATTTAGTATTAAATATACATTAATATTAAAATATTAGATATATTATTCTATCCTAATTCTTTGTAATATGGAATTGTCAATAGGGTAATTATTATTAATAATTATTATGGAAACCCCATATGAAAAATGTATACTAAATAAATATAATAAGTTAATTTTTTTAATATATATAATAATAATTTGCATATTTCTTAAATTATAGCATGTTTTGCTTTATAGATGTTTGCATTTTACTTTAATTACCTACCCGAAAAGCCCAAATTTTATCGTAAGGTAATAAAAGTACCTTTGCATACAACTTGTGTTGCCATTGTCAATTTTTTTGGAATTTTTTCTAAATTTTATGATTATCATGAACAGTAATTATGACTGTTAGTAGTTAATTGTGTAATAAATTTTACTGTTCGATAAAATTTAGTAAAAACTGAAAAAAAATAATGAAAGTACCAAAAAGCTACACCTTTTGGTACCTAAATAAACGGGAATATCGATAACGGCCACATAGAAACAGGCATTTAAAAATAGGAAAAACGATATAAACTCGGATATAAAAGTCCATGCGTAATTTCAATTAAAAAAAACGGTTTCCTGAACATATATCATTTCTGGATACTCATCGTTTTTCCCATATGCTCGTCAATTGTTATATTTACTGTTACATAAAATTTAGTAAAAACTCTAAAAAACTTGTCAATAGCAGAAGAAGTTGTATGCACGTATTTTTATTACCTGACGATAAAATTTGGACTTTCCAGGTAGGTAGTTAAAGTTAAATACAAACATCTAAAAAATAAAACATGCTATTTATAAAAATGCAAATATCTTAAATAATAATTTAATATGCACTTTGCAAACCGGTAAATACTGCAAAATCCAAAACATAATAGTAAAATATCTACTACTACTCTAAAATATCTACTAAAATAATAAACTAATTGTTAAAAATAAATATTTTGTGCATATTTCGAGTAAAATCTTTTCTTAATTTATATGTATATTTTTAAAACCGTTTTTTTATAGTTAGGTTTCCATAATTATAATATACTTAATATGTCTAATACTTTAATTATTATATACTTAATAATAATTATTATATACTTAAGTAATATCCTATACTATATAAGCACATACCTTCCTTCATCTTTTGGGCACCTAAAGAACGATATATTTTCTGTCATTCTACTTTCACAACCATCCACTGCACAAATATTTCTAGTAGACATTTTATTCACAATTCGAACAAAACAACTAAAACACCATTTTTGGTTCACCCTATGCGTCGGACCGAAAACAAAACTAAAATAAACTTGGAACGCTGTGTACACGTCGAGCAACGGATGTAGACTGACCCAAGTCTACAAGACAGGCGGGGAGCGGCGGGAGGAATTTTGATACGGGCGAAGAGTGGGTCAACTGATATATTAATATTCTTTAAACTGGTTTAATGCTACGAATAGGGTGATAGTAGTTATCAAAAAATGGAATACTTTAACAACATCAAAAAATATGACGTTATTATCAAAATTAATAATAACCATTTAGGAATTCCACAATATTTTTATGTTTTTTTTCTAATTTTCTCTAAAACGGTATGGAAATTTGGAAAAGTATAAACGGCATTAAAGCATTTTAGAACAAGCAAAATTTTTATGAAGAATGCGTTTTGCCATTAATATCCCAATAATAAAAAAGGTTTTCCTCTTGTAAAGACAATCCGAGGTCATACTGTATCCTTAAATACCGTACGACCGAAAAAAAATGCACCGAGTTGGCTTAGAAATGACGATGACATTCCCTATATAACTTTACATATAAAATGACAGATCTTTATTTCATAGCCATTAGGGCTGACGCTGTTTTTTTTTCGATCATATTGTATATGAGAATTACTTTAAAAATATATTATATTCTGATTTGATTTAAAACATGTTTAATTTATATTATTTTTTCTAATGTAGTCTCCGAGTAAAAGTAAATTGGTTGTGGTAAGTCGCCTGAATGATTGAATCATGAAGTTATTAGAGTTAATTATAATTTTATAAGGATTTCCTCCGCCTGTTTAATAGAATTACTCTTTATTTGGTCACTACCTCTAATTTTTAACAATGCAATGGGATACATTTCCATTTTAAACAACAATAATTAAACGAAGTACCACTAACTAGTTATCATTATATCAACTTTTTATTTGTATATTTAATATGAAAATAGTTTAACAATTTTTAACAATACAATTCTGATTTTTGATCCAATACCTATAATGCATTTAATATGATTTCTAAATAGCTTTACATACATAAAAATGTCTGTATTATTTCTCTTTTTAAACAATAGAATACTACTTTTGTTTAATTATTATGAATGTTTTAATATTTTTTACTAATATAAATAAAAACAATATTATTTCTTTTTAAATACAGGTTTATTCATGTTTTAGCTTTTAAAATTGAACCAAGCTTCGCTGGGTAAAACAGCGGCAGGTCAATTAGTCAACTTGCTGTCAAACGATGTTATAAGATTTGATATGGTCTCATGGTTTTACCACTATTTTTGGATTATGCCTATACAAAGTGCTATTGCATTATATATTATGTACAGTTATATAGGAATGGCAGCTTTGCCGGCCATGGCAGCCATTACAGTCCAAGCTGTAATAATTCAAGGTGAGTTTGACGTGTCCTCTGATTGGCCAACCTCATTTTTCAAAATAGGATATAATATTTTGCCATCTATGGCTTACATTAGGGACCGGTTTAGTGATGTAAAATTACCGGTAGTATTACTGTAACATTGGTAATTTATAAAAAACAGCTTTTTAAATATTTTTTTTTAATTCAAAACTGTAAAAATATTATAAAAAAAGGCAAGAACGTCTTTTAAACTAGTCAGAGACAGAGTGGTCTATATTATAGAACGGTAATAGAGCGGATAATGGTAAATTATCCCCAATCCCGTTATCTGGTTGTTTTTTTTTTCTTTCGTTAATTGAGTCAAGTCTATTACTTAGAAATCGATATCTTCTCTCCTCCATATCTTCTTCCATATCTTTCTCACCTCTTCTTCCATATCTTTCTCAGCAGCTGATGGCATTCTTGGATGTTCTTCTCCATTAAGTAATTTATAATTATGGGCAATATAAGTAAGTTCTCTGCCGCTTTCTACGGTAAGTCTGTTTCTTCTTGGCCGGTGAATAAATCCATAGATTAGATTAGATTCTTCGAGGTGGTTTGTGATCCCGTTGTGTGTCCCGATGCATTGCGACCTTTCCAGATCTCTTGTGGTTCTCTTCTGAACTTTAGCTTACATTCTACAGTCCTATTCTTTTTACAAAGTCTAGCATCTTGGAGACTCCATGTAGCCCTCTGGCAATGGCCTGTCATCGCCTGTTACCGAGAATGGCATATTTGCCAAGCTGTCGCACCGACATAACCGACATACATGGCTTCGTCCGCCATTGGCTTTAGACGCCTATTCAGCTTACAATGCCTTGTTAGAAACTCACCAGAGCAGGCGAAAAAGTTCATAGTATCGTATGATCGAAAAAAACGGCGTCCAGTTGGATTGGAAATGACGATCGATAACATTTCCCATATAATTTTACATACAAAATGGGGGATACAAAACAGGGATCTTCATTTCATAGCCATCGCTGACGCCGTTTTTATTCAATCATACGGCACTATGAACTTTTTCGCCTGCTCTGGTGAGTTTCTCCACTAGTCTAAAGATTTGTAGGCCATTCTCCACAAACAAATCAATATGTAGGTACTAAAGGTTCTTTTGGTTGAGGCTGTTGACGATGGTAAATTTAAAGTGTATACAGCCAACATACTTATTTTAGAGCAAATGAAAAAAAGTAGAACGGAAAAAAAAACAATATTTCTAATTTTACCGATCTTGCGGTAATATTACGTAATATTAACAACATTAACGGTAATATTACCCTTTACATCACTAGACCGGGTAATGGTAATGGATTGAGGCATATCAATAATTTAATTTTTTGTCAAGTGTTTCAATTCTATGATATCTATTATTCTATGCTATGTTATCTATTTTTTCTATGCTCAATTATGAATTTTATCTTTTATTTGTAATAAAAAGAATCAAATTGAAGGATCCTTTTGCAACTCAACAGCAGAATCGTTGAGTTATACAAAAGCAGAAATATATTCGTGTATTCAAAAGTGGTCATAAAAGGGGGAAGACTATGATGGCGCTGCTGTAGCAAACGTTCTACATTTGAAAGAGGCTTCAAAAATAATTATTGTTGTCGACAAAACAGGAAATAATTAAAAAGAAGTAGATAAATATCCGATTTCTGAAGGCACGTATGGCATTTCTTTTTGACAAACTTTATTTATAACAGCTAAGTTCAGTGCGCTCCCTTATTACTTGTTAGCGCCACTGTGGTAATTTAGTGAACCCTTATTCTTCCCATTTCGTGACCACTTTTTCAAATAAACTCTCATAAGAGATGTTTCACCTTAAAAAAAACATAAATAAACCATAACCCTAATAACTCTTCATAAATGGTCTGATGATGGATAAACAATTCTTATGAGAAATTACATTGGAATATATATATATTTTTTAATTGTTAAGTCGAAGCCCGATGGATCAAAAACGAGTTTGTAGCGCGGTTTCTAAAATGTGTTCCAGTTTCAACAACATAGCTTGCAGATGTAGAATACTGTAGGTCGAAAAAAGGATCGGCAAGTTGGCTTGGAAACGACGAGCAATGGCATCATATAATTTTTCGTACAAAGTTATAACGATCTTCACTTACATGCCAACTCTGACGCCTTTTTCGATTGGATGGTATATAAACTACAGCGCAAATGAGCTCGAGCAATTACCGAACTATTTTTGAACGCATCTAAAATATATGCATTCCTATTAGCTCACTAAATTGTTAGGGAAAAATAATAAAAGCTAAAATAACTATTTTGTTGTAGGTTGTTTGTCCAAAAGACAAGGCATTTTAAGGGCTAAAATAGCCCATCTGACTGATAACAGGGTAAAATTGATGAGTGAAATTTGTTCCGGTATACAGGTTATTAAAATGTATGCTTGGGAAAAACCTTTTGAAAAGGTTGTAGAACTAGCGCGAAAGTAGGTTTGTTCAAAAGTTTTGTGATGTAAAAATAATATTCTATTGTTATAGATTAGAAATAGACGTAGTGAAACAAACATCGTATATTAAAGGTGCCTCTTTAGCTCTCATGATTTTTACCGAAAGAGCAACTTTGTATATAGCTGTGATAAATTATGTATTATTGGGAAATAATATAACAGGTATTGTTTCAGGAACCAGAATTTCGCTTTTTGGATATATAAGAATGCTCTAATTTTCAGGTGATGTTGTATTTTCTGTTGCTCAGCTTTTAAACACTGTACAATTGTTTATGGCGACATACTTTCCTCTAGCTTTATCCACTTATGAAGAATGCAAAGTGTCAATTAAAAGAATAGAAGACTTCCTCTTCCTAGAGGAAAACGTTGATACCTCAAATGTTGAAAGTAATGAATTAACTTATTAACTTGGCGTTTTTTTAGTTTTCTTTTTTTAGGTAAACCTGAAAATGCTGGTTTGGTAAAACTATCAGATGCCACTGCAAGCTGGACACCAAATCCTATTATTAAAACTTTAATAGAAATTAATTTGGAACTAAAGCCAGGCACGCTGTGTTGTGTTGTTGGTCCAGTTGGGTCAGGAAAAAGTTCGCTATTGCAGGTTAGTAATTACTGTATTAGACCAAAGAATATTATTATTGATTTAAATTTGTTTAGGTACTGCTTCAAGAATTACCTATATCCAGTGGTAAATTGCAAGTTGTGGGAGATATATCATATGCATCTCAAGATCCTTGGTTATTTGTTTCTAGTATTAGACAGAATATATTGTTTGGTCAAGCTTATGATAAGGAGAGGTAAGATTTTTCAAGTTAACAAATTATTTTTAGGTCTCCGATTTAAAATAAAAAATACGGTAAAAAAATCAAAATAAGTTATTCCAGATGATATGTTTTGTTATATAATCGTTGCATGAGAATGCCATAGATCAAACAGCCTAATGATAATTTTCTATAACAATGGATTTTCTATGATCATATGGGCTTCATCATAAAACTTTTTAATCATAAAGTGCATATATTACAAAATATGAATTTATTCTTCATTTATTTCTTTATTCATTATGTTTTTTAACTCTAATATTTAGAAAGAACAGATTGATAGAACACACACAACAAATTATAATGATATAGTTATATCAAATAAACTTTTAGTCACGTGATTAAGCTTGACCGGCACAGCGTTGCCCACTTTTACATATTTTCTTTTAATCAAAATATTTGAGGAAACGAATTTATAACATATATAAACAATTATTATTTACATCAACAAAACTCACCTTAACAGCACTTAAGGGTCATAAAGCGCCATTACTACCGTTTTCCCGTTCAAAATATTCTAATAAAATTGCAATGCATTTTTTACGGCTATTAAGCTATCTTGTACACTTCGCACTAAAAGAGGTTCTAAAAAGAACAATGTTCAACTGCAAGGTCTGCTAGTAAAAAAAATTAAGCGAGAGTATTACAACAAATTTATTTATAACAAAAACTCGTAATACAAAACTAAAGTATCAAAACGAATGACAATGTCGAGAAGTAAATAAATAAATGCGTCAACTTGACATTTTTTACAGCAGAGCTACCACCTGAATCCCCAGCGGGAAATTTAAATTCCAGTTAGTCTGGTCCGGCGCCGAATATGTCCATGGTTGGCAACAATGAATTTAAAAATTGCGCCCTTGATTACGTAACTAAAAGTTTAATTGGTATTGAATATATATGCCAAATATCTATTGAGTTATTGTATCTAATATTTAGGTATAAGAGAGCAGTGCAAGCGTGTACTCTTCGGCGCGATTTTGATCTGCTGTCGCATGGTGATCGTACATCTGTGGGCGAAAGAGGTTCTGCATTGAGCGGTGGTCAAAGGGCTAGAGTAGCTCTAGCAAGAGCAGTATATAGGGATGCCGACATCTATCTTTTGGACGACCCTCTAAGCGCCGTTGACACCCACGTAGCCAAACAGCTCTTCGAAGGTTGCATCCAGGGACATTTGAGAGGAAAAACGAGAGTACTGGTCACGCATCAAGTGCAATTCCTTAAAGGAGCTGATCTCATTGTGGTTTTGAATAATGTAAGTAGAAGACGATAATTCTATTTAATTATGTCATTTATTTTATTGATTGATTTTTAATATTGTTATGATTGTATATCCCGAAAATAGTTTCGATACGGTACAGGGTACTTCAAAAAACCGATTCTGCTTCGTTTCGTAGCTACAGGGGGCTAGTCTTAATTTTTTTTGATTTGTTATAATTTTCTTCCAAATGTTTTTAACGATTTGAATGAAATTTTGTAGATAAAAGTTACTATAAGTGCAACATATTTTAATGCTAAAAAGTGTGCATATGTGTTCTTTTTCTTATCACGCTCTCTCCTGCCGAAGGTTGGCGATGCAAATGGCAATTGTGGCTCTGGAAACTGCAGCCCGGAAGATTTCCGCAGACGAGCGTTCAAACCATCTTCTTAAATCTTTTAGCCATGAGTTCTGGCGTCTTCCTACTGATCTTTTCCCTTGCACTTTGCCCTCTATTATGAGGCGCAGTATTTCGTATCTATCACCTCTCATCACATGACCCAGGTATTGCACTTTTCTTTCCTTGATGGTATTCAGTATCTCTTTTTGTTTCTGCATGCGCTGGAGTACTTCATCGTTGGTGATCCTTTGTACCCATGAAATTCGCAGCATTCGTCTGTACACATACATTTCGAAGGCTTCTATTCTCTTTTCGGTCTGCGAATCCAGTGTCCAGCTCTCACATCCATAGAGTAACACTGGCCATTCGAGTTCTAAGTTCAGCACTGAGGTCTCGTCGCATATGTGTTATCACTGGAATATTATCTTAAAAAATGTGCGCCACTGACTTTCTTTTTTCTTGTTAGCAAAATTGTGTTGGACGTTTAGTGTCGATTAAAAGTTGTATTTTGATATTTTGTCGTTTTTACTTTAATGATGAAACAACTGCAATTTTATTAATCACAATTAATAAAATAAAAATAAAATTCATAAATTATTTATTTAATCTAATTTATTACTAAATTTTATTAAAATTTATAACACTGAAATTTTTGAAGGTTTCTCTTAGACTTGGGTTAAAGTAAATTAATAAAATTTCGTTTAACTCATCAAGGAGCGCGAAATCGACAAAATATCAAGATACAACTTTTAATGGGCATTAAACAACCTACACAATTTTGCTAACAAAAGAAAAAAAGTCAGGGGCGCACACGTACATGTTTTTTTAGAAAAATGTTTCAGTGATAACCGATATACATGTCGTTGGTGAACATGACACTTTTTTAGCATTAAAATATGTTGCACTTATAGTAACTTTTGTCCCCAAAATTCCCCAAAAGAAAGTGATAATAAATATCCCTACGAGAGATGGCACGTTTCTTGAAACACCCTGTTTAAATGGTATTTAAAATTTTTAATCTCATTTGATTTGTTATCACTTTAAAAACACGATACTGTACGGGCGAAACGGCGTCAGTTTAATTTTGTATATTATGCTGGCTGATGACAAACACTCTATAAGTATCCTTTCGTTGGACAGATTATTGGCATTTTTTTTACTTAGTAATATTATTTATTGCAACAAATATAATATATTGACAAAAATAATATATTTAAGGGTTCTATAGAAAAAATGGGTACATATGAAGAACTAGAAGAACAATTGTCGGTTCTTTCAAAAGAAATTGAACAGCAACATCAACAGCAAGCTGCTGAACACAAATTGGAAAGGGAGCAAACTCCGAAGGTTGAAGATAGAGATAGAGGGTTACAGTTGGCTCTGCAATCCATTGCTTCATTAGCTGTAAGATTAAGTTTGTTATTTATATTTACTGTCTAACCATTCATTTCTATAAAGATTTTTCTAAACAAAGAAATATTAAAATGCGATTTAATACATTTTTATAGATTTCATATACTCTAAAACACACTCTACACTATGCGGAGAACTCTTCGAAGCAGGTCAACGTCGCGTTTCGCCGCCCAACTTTGGCGCATTTTGGTTTATTTCCAGTTGTCTAGCCTGCGATTTTATTGACTTACTTTCTCGATTCTTAAAAGCGCCTGAAAACCACTCGTGAGGAGGGCGTTGGGGGATTTTTTTGGCGTTTCCTGTTGCCTCGTTCGATTTCGTTTTGTTTTGAGCTATTTCAAAACGTGGCGATATCCGTACCCGAGGCAAAGGACTTTTTTTCATTAATCTCAGTGAAATAAGTAAACCTAGACGTTTCTAATATAGCTGTTGTTACGGTGATATTTCGTTAATTACATCGTTTTATGTTGATACATATTTCGCAAAATTAATATTTCAACACGCGTTTATGTAATATATATATAGTAGATATTTAAGAACAAAACTTTTCACTTAAACTGCAGGAATATAATTACAATATTTTTATGATTTAATTTTATTATAATGAATTAGTATATAAAATTGTATATGTAGTGGAGTGCCCAGAGACTTTTACCTCGGAATTCAACTACTGTGAATGTATTAATGTGAAACCTTCAGTATTGTGTTTTATAGATAAAATACTAAAATGTTACCCATTTTTTTTCGTTGCTTTTAATTTTTTATTTTAGTAATTTTAGTTTCTTAATTATTTCCTTCTTAATTTTTTGATTTTTTAAATTCTTTTTCTAAGTACATTTATTGAAGTAAATAAATCCAATACATAAGCTATACCTATTCTGCTTATATTCTAATCATTGAAATTTTGATTGAAATCGATTTATACAGGGCGGCGCGACATATACGACGCAGTTTTTGCAAAGAGAACAAAAGTTTGTATTGAAGTGAAATTTTGTGAGCTTATGTAAGTCAATATAAAGCATTTACATCTTTTTTTAAATTAAAAATGAAACTCCCCATCTGTTAATTATAGGAGGGAAAACAAAATATTGATATTTTGATGAAAGTTTGAAATACCCTGTAGAATATGGTAAAACCGCAAGAAATTTAAAAATCATCTTATCATCTAGATACATCCTTTCTCGATGGTTTGTTTTTTGGTTCATCTCATTAACTTTATTTTTGTTGGAAATATTCGTTCGCTTTTGAAGGAGACACTAACATTTTTTCGTAATTTTTACATTAAGACCATCCATGCCTTTGCTTTTGGACCAAGTCAACACATCTAAGTAAGTTCTGGTCCCGAAGCATAAGATTTGCTTCATTTAATCTTCTTCTTATAGTCCGTTAGTTATGTACGTTTTTTAAGTGCAATTATTCATTATCAATTTGAAAAGCTGGCAAAGGGCGGTTTCTTAGCGATAAACTTACGACTCGATCGTCTCGATTAGAAGTTCTCATACGAAGGTTCCTGGACGTCTAGATTGACGTCCTTATGGTTGTGGTCATAATTCAAACCCCACTTAGTATACTCTATGGTATTAAGGTATTTTTGGGGCCGCAATTTTATAGCAAATTTACTGAACTAAACAAATATAGATATATATTTGAGTCACCCTGTACTACACCTGGTGTGAACTACCATTAAACACATATTTTGTAAAAGGTTTTGAGTAAAAATATCAAATAGGAATCCTGATACAGAGCTTTTGCGGAATACGAGCCATCTCGTATGTATGCATTTGTATATGTGTTTTTATTTAAATACTAAAGTGAAAGTAACGAATTTAAATGGGTAAACTTTGTAATATATCTTATTAACAATACAATGCAAAAAGTTTTATAAAAAATCGTTTACAGTAAATGAATTCCGAGGTTTGTATCCCATAAGGGCTTAAAGCACTCCATTAATGATATGTTTTACGGTTTTAATTGATTAATATAAGAGTAGTATTGCTTGATGAGAAATACTGGTAACATTATCAATATATCGAGCTGATTGGGAAAATTATTGATTGACCCGATGTGAACAAAAGTACGGTACACGGACATTTTTAAAAAGCACTGTTCTCTTGTTTTAAGAGAAAACTGTAAAAGATACTTTTATATATAATAATAACATGGTTTGATACCAACCCATTCGAAAATAAGAAATAATTAGATCATTTTTTAAATAGTTTAACACCGTGGATTATAACCTATAAAAGGCGGACCGCCAGAACGGTTAGTCACTGCGTATTGCCCATTGCCCTGCAGTTTAACGATTTTAAGATTTGGAAATATATATTTTTTTACTATATTGTAATTAATAATGTTAGACAATGATTAAAACTAAATATTCGTTTGTAACCTTAGAGGAATAGCTAATTTAATCTACTATGGGTAACTATTTTTTAAATGCACTGTTTTTGATTTTTTATATCAATTGAATATAGTGGTATTACATTACACTGTAATGATATTACAAATTAATAATATTTATTCCTACTACTCCATGTTTACTTATTTTTCTTAAGTCGCCACAACGTTTGACCTAGCTTGATTGCTTCGTGCTATTTCACGAAATAGTACGATAAATATAAACCCGTGTTATAAAAATTAGTTCCCACGTTTCCTGAAATAGACCGAGACGCGCCGTGATTCTTTGATTTGTTTTTATTGTTAATCTCGATCTATATGGTTCTATTCCAGGAAACGTGGGAACTAATTTTTTAACACGGGCTTATATTTGAGTTTACTTCAGAAAGTATTTCCAGCAAAGTTTTCTGGAGATAGTGTAGAGGCTGTTTACTATTTTAGAAACAATCGAGAAAAGTTATAATAGGCTATAATAAAGTATTTTTTTTTCAAAAGTATGGTTCATTAAGTAATTGTTCTTTTAGAGTTGGGATGATCCTGAAGAAACTGAAGAACTGTTAGAAAGAGGTGCCTTAAAATCATCGACTTACGTGGAGTATTTTAAGTCTGGTACTTCTGTATGCACTTTAGTAGTTCTAATTATTCTCTTTGTAATTGCACAAACTGCGAATAATGCATCAGATTTGTGGGTAACCAACTGGTAAGTCTGTATGATTCGTTATTAGAATAGTAAAAAAATACAAGCAGATGTTAGAGAATATGTGTATATGCACACATTAGTATTTATCATGTTAAGATAATCTGTCTGGTGAAAGAATTTGGTGTCTGTCGAAACTTTACCTTTTCCAACACACTGTATATTTCATGTGCACATCAAAGATCGTTTATTGAATATTTTAGGACAAATACAGAAGAGGAAAAGCGAGCAGCGAATTTAACGTTCGAATCTACAAATTTTACTGCCTTAGATAATGATACCTCTGTTTTTAATAATGTATTCAATTCCACTCTACCTTATGAAGAAGGGTTAGAGACGAAAACTTATATTTCTGTCTATACTGGTTTAATAATTGCATCAATAATTCTAACGTTATCAAGGTAAGTTGTAGAATTTAAATATAAGATTATCTAAAATATCATCATGTTATAAGAATGTAAGCGAGCACGCCATGTCATATAGACTTGGTGCATTTCAGTTGAAATTTTTTGACCGCAGCGCTTGATGCGGCAGAGATCAGAAGTTTTTGGTTAGGTTAGGTTATTTCACGCAGTTCCGATGTTGATCACATTGAAATAATATTAAAATCGTGGCTTTGTCATGATATTTAAATATTTTAGTTTTTAATATGTAGTGCAGTTATTGAAACTATAAAACACTCAGGTACGAGAGGTTTGTGTGATGTAACCCTGTTTCGCGTAGTAGGTAGTTATCCTAGTTGAACTTATCTAAAAAATTTTATTAGCTTGAATAATAAATTATAATTATTAAAGTTAGACCTTCCGCTTCTGAAGATATCAAAATATTTACTTTTTTATTTTTAGATCACAAATTATACTGCCTAACGCTTTCAGAATAATTATATAATATGTGTATTTGTATATGCCGGTTGCTTAAGATATTCTTCGATGGTGGCAGCACCGGCGGAGAATGCACCAAGCCTATAGACAAGTGTAGAATGTAGAATGTGGAAGGGTGTGTACCCTCGGAGGAAGAACTGTTGTCAGAGGAGGATGGGAATACCTTATCCCCTCTACAACAGGGGTATGATTGGTTATAGACTGTGTGATGACTCAAGGAAGGGGGGCACGATAGATCTTTAAGGTCGCAGTGATTAACCCCCCTCCCCCCCGCTCACTCATTCTACATTCTAGACATGTGTAAGAATAATAATTATATTAATACAGTGCCCGCCAAAAAAACAATTTGATTTTTTTTGATTATCGACTTTTTAGAAAAAAAGGTATACTTTATTTATTCAGGAATAAATATAACGTAAGATATAAAACGTAAAAGTTGTTTTATGTCTATATACAAATTTTTATCGATACACAAGGATTTTCAAAAATGTGTGTTCCATTTTCTGCAAAATGAGTAAATCTAACAATAAAAAATACTTGTACCGAATTCCTATTAATATACATATTTCTGATTTTGTAAATATTTTTTTTTTCTACATTTTTTTGTACTGGGCGCCACCCACACACGTTTTTTTAAACTATTTTGAAGAGTAATAACTCTTTGTACAGATAATTAAAAGCTTAGTGTAAATATACATTTCCATTTTCTCCGTGAAAAAGGTCTCTTGGTATAAATTCGTTCGAGCAACCGTTCTCAAGATAATATTTGGAATGGAAATAGTCAATACATGTCAAATAAACAAATTATTGACAAAAAATAAACATGTTAATTAGATATTTGTTTGACTGAAATGATAAATTTGGGAACTTTTTATATTTTTTAAGTTGTGAGTTGTTTGTTTTATATATATTTTTTTAAAAAAGTTATGATAAAATAGTTTCTTTTGAACCATTGGCTCAAAAACATTTCAAATTTATTAATTCAGCTAATAACTATCTAAATAGTCAACATGTTTTGATTGTAAGTTTTCAATGATGACATGTATTGACTACTTCTATTCCAAATATCTTGAGAACCATTACCCGTAGTGAGTTTTGCAAAGAAATCTTTTTTACATAAAAAAGATGGAAATGTATATTTTCTCACTCATTAGTGTAATACAGGGATGGACAAAAATTTATTTCTTTTCAAACCAGTTAAAAATATGTAGGAGGCGCCCCCTACATATATGTGTCATACTCGCATCGAAATCGAGATCCTCATGTCTAAAAACACCCAGACGTCAATTTTCATCCAAATATCGACGTTGTTTCAGAAATTATTTAGAAAAATCGAAATAAAAATGGAACTTCTACACCCGGTATCTCCGAAACGAAGCATTTTAGGACATAAATGTATACGCACTTTTTTAGTTATTCCAGAATACAATTTGAACCGCTCTATATATACATATAATTTGTAAAAACAGGGTGTGAAAATTTCTATGCGATAAAAGTTTACCTCATGTGTGCACCTACCTATAGAGTTTCGTCCATTGCATAGACTTAAAATAAAATATAGACTGAGCATCTCATTCATAAATAGCTGGAACATGCGGCCAGACAATGTCTTGTTATTGTTGTGTTATTGTTTTAGGTTATAACGAGTGCGACACGAGCGATAAATATGTTGTCTCTGTCGTAACGGTCGTTCCCTGACGACTCTGACGAGAAACACAACACTGTCTTTCGTTTCTAAAGTACACCTGAACTCTCCGTGTCATAGCCGGGTAATTTTTTTATTTTAATGAAGTTATAATTAAATTAAAAATATATCGTATTTAAACTTTTTTATATTTTATTAAGATTTAGGACAGGTTTTTTTAAATAAAAGTTTAGAAAAAACGTCTTAGAGTCCAAAAAGGATAAAAATAATAAAATACACGTTATAGAAGAAATTTTATAATCGAAATTACGTAATTTTAGAAATTAATAATAAATTATTAATTTTAGTTAAACATTTATAACCCCTAATATTAATAAAAACAGGATCTATTCCACAGATATAACTGAATCGGCGACAGGGAGAGAAAAAAGAATATATGACTGTTGTAAATTTTTTTCTGGTTAAGTGATGTCTTATTATGTAAATTAGGGAAAACATAAAACTGTTCCATTAAAGCAAGGAAGGTGATAGGAAGTGGATAAAATGAAAACTACATTTATTTAACTCGGTACTGTCTTTATTATACCGGGTGCGTCCCAAAAGTGGCTCATCCCCATATTTTTTTATATTTTCAAATAAAAAACAAGATTTAGTATGTTAGTATATGACATAAATTAGGATTGATTGACGCATTCAATTGTTTTTGGCCACTTCCTGTTTCACCGGAAATGACTATAACTTTTAATTTTTAAACGGCACCCTCGGTATATTTCTACTTTATTCCATAGAAAATGACACTCTGAATAGAATGACATATCATATGTCAACTTTTGACATTTTCGCATATGGATTAATTGTAATTGTAACACGCGGTTCATAACGACAATTTGACTCGAAATACCAAGTGTCTGGTATCAATATATTCATAAAAAAGTGCTTTTTCCAAATATGCTAATGAGTCACCCTTGTTCCATTTGAAAAAATTGACATATGTATGATTAAAAATACGCTTTGTACATCTTTTAACCGGCCTAGACAAGACACGAAACCCATTAGACGATCAAAACTATTTTTCCAAGGCTCCTTGATTAAAACTTAGTACGCAGAAAGAAAAAAAATCGTGGGTGTTTGGGAAGGCTCGAAAGGAAATAATGTTTTTGCGACGTTTCGCGACTTTATTGTCGCTTCTTCAGGCACCAAAACATATTAATCCATATTTTGCCTAAAAACATTCATGGCGATTCCAACCGCCAACACTAAGCCACATACGGAAGAAAAAACAAAAACTTAACGGGTATTTTTTGCCCGACGTACACCGATGCTCGGTTTGTGTCGTACTCTCTCTGTCTGTCGTACTTCTGTGAGTACGACACAAACCGAGCATCGGTGTCTTTCTTCCGTATGTGGCTTAGTGTTGGCGGTTGGAATCGCCATGAATGTTTTTAGGCAAAATATGGTTTTGGTGCCTGAAGAAGCGACAATAAATTCGCGAAACGTCGCAAAAACATTGTTTCCTTTCGAGCCTTCCCAAACACCCACGATTTTTTTTCTTTCTGCGTACTAATTATTACTGAGAACTAACAATAATCATAATTAAAACTTAGTGTTTTTAACAACACCATGGCACCCTGGATTGAAATTTAAAATACGATTTGTTTTTAAGCGACAATGTCAAAAGTTGACATATGATATGTCATTCTATTCAGAGTGTCATTTTTTATCGAATAAAGTAGCAATATACCGAGGGTGCCTTTAAAAATCAAAAGATGTAATCATTTCGGTGAAACAGGAATAGACCAAAAACACTTGAATACGTCAATAAATCCTAATGTATGTCATATACCTACTAACATACAAATCTGTTTTTTTATCTGAAAAAATAAAAAAGTTATAGGGGTGAGCCACTTTGGAGACGACCCGGTATATTAAAAAATATTGTTTCATAATGTAATATCATTTTAAAATTCTTGTATGTTATTTTAGATTCTGAAGATAATTTTAGAATAAACCGGAATATATTTAAAAAAAAACATTATTATATAATTATTAACAGGGTTATAATTATGATTTTGTTACAATGTAAGTAAGTAAATAATGTAATGTAAGAGAAAAAAATCAGATTTTACATTTTACTAAAATATTATCTAAATAAGCGCCTTTCTACAACAACGCCACTGACTCCCAATAGGTAAATTGAGAGTTGCCTACCGGTCAAAAGTCGTTTCAAGACTTAAATGGATTATTTAAGTCAAATTTCTTGCAAATTTGGCACTGGCGAACCATATTTTATAGTTCTTGAACAGAAAAAATCAATAAAATAAACACTTAAGGACTACAAGCTAAGAAAATGCGTTAATACAGCCGGGGACATAGCGGCAACAAAGCTTTACCGCACACGTGCGGCGCGTACTACAAGGTAATAAATGAATGAATAGGCTCCCTCGCCTCTAATCGGTGTTGTCATATTGTAAAGAACTTATCCTTTTTAAACAGTATCCGACTTATAATTTAGAAGCATAAGGAATATTTAATACATCTATGGAATATTAAAACCTACTTTATTAAAATGTAGTATTAATATCTCAATATATGTGTTTAACAAGAAAAAAAATATTGATAATATTAAAACGTGACAACATAGGCTGGATGAGGAAGGCTCGGTCAACTGTACCCAGAAGTAAACATGTGTACAAAAAAGATTGTTTGACCGCGTTGAGATGTAGATAGTGTAGTCTATATTTTATTTTAAGTCTATGGTCCATTGCCTTCGGTCGCTGACGTCACGCGTAAGCCATTATAGGCTGTATCTCATTTCTCTGGGGTGAGGTTGGAGCTAAAATAGTCCGTCAGAATACGGAAATACAAATAACTCTTTGTCTTAGCCCTAGTAAACAGGAGTAATAAAACTTGTTGAATGCTTGTGTTTATGTTTCAGGGGAATACTTTTTATGAAGATATCAATGAGTGCCTCAAAACATTTACATAATACGATGTTCCGATGCCTATTAAGAGCCCCAATGAGCTTCTTTGATACCAATCCTTCCGGTCGTATTCTAAATCGTTTTTCTAAAGACATGGGTGCGGTAGACGAACTTTTACCAAAAGTGTTCCTAGAAACGCTACAAATATTTTTCATGATGTTAGGTATTTTAGGAATGGTAAGATATTTGGAAACTCATTTGGGATTATTTGTATTATAACTTCTTATGTTATTTAGGTATTTATAGTGAGTCCGTGGATGATTGTACCAGCAATATTTCTGGGTTTGATATTTTGGTACGCTCGAGTGGTTTATCTAACCTCAGCTCAAGATATAAAACGTTTAGAGGGGTCGACGAGAGCTCCAGTATTCTCACACGTTTCCTCTTCCCTTTATGGATTGCCTACAATTAGAGCTTTTAAAGCTCAAGAATTGATAGTACAAGAATTTGACAGTTTGCAGGTAAGTGAAATACTATACGATCGAGAAAAACGGCGTCAAAGATAGCTGGGGAATGACAATTGATGATAATTTTGGCGAGGTCAATCCCTAGCCGTCATTTACTTGGCCCGTACACTTCTTTATTTTTTAATCGCGCTTAGTAAATTAAAAAACATACTTTGTTGATAATATGGTAACATAGGTAGTATAATAGATTAAATTTACAAAAAAGAAACCTCAGAAAAGATCCAGTGGTTCTCAAAATTTAAGCAAAAAATCATATTTTTGGAAATTTTCAAAGTAAAATAACTCGGTTGTTTTTTACTTATTTTAAAAACGGTAAAGAGAAAATATGTTTCTTTTATCGGGATCTACCGGCCCTGAAAATATTTGCACTTATTTATGACTAACCCTGTATATACTAGTGGTGGCAAATTGAATTTTGAAAGCCGAAAACTGACAACTATGATTTTTCAATTCTGAATTATGTTATTAAAAGTGTATCTATTTATAATAATTAGTTATTTTTGTTACAATTACCTTTGTTAATAAATATGTGGGAACTTAAAATTTTTCTGTTTTTCTCTTTACATCTGGTTTGTATTATATCTAGGGTACTGTTAATCTAATTATAATTTAATACTTAAAATATAATAGTCATTAATACTTACAATAGAATTTTACACATGTTTTGTTATGTTACACATGGTTATAATGAAATTATATTTTTTTTGGTAGGATCAACACACAGGTACCTGGTTTATATTTGGAGCTACCAGTGAATCTCTTGGTTTTTACTTGGATATCATAAGTACAATCTTCTTAGCGTTTGTTACATTCCAGTTCCTAGTATTTGGAGATGAAGATATTAAGGCTGGTGATGTAGGTTTAGTAATTTCGCAAACGCTAGTTTTAACAGGTAATTGTTCAATAATTAACAAAGAATAACTAGATTCTCAACAAAAAAAAAACAGTTTTAATCTCCTAAAACAAGCTATCTATGTTGTATTTTAATACATTTTATTTGATTTTATAAAAATTTAAAATTATGATTTTCATTTGACAATCTTTGTATTAGGATAAGTGTGGTTTACTTGCATACGTCATGCGTCATGTATTCCCTTAAGGAACGACGGACGACGCTTTATGGTTTTCATGTAAACCTAAACTTAGTCTTAAGCACTTGTTAATGAAAAAAAATATGAGTAAATTTATAAAAAATAATCTTTAATAAGTGATTTTTAAAAATCTAATATTTTTGCATTGGTCAAAAAATAATCTAATTTTACAAAATTATTTAGGTTAAACTAATCGACGTTTCATAATTAGCTTTGCGTGTTTACAATTGAAATTTAAATCACAACTTCTAGTGTGTACGCTATCCGCCTTACTTGACAGGTAAAACGTTAGCTTTATTTTTGAAATAGGAAATAAGTGAATAAAGTCAACTTTATTTCCTATTTTAAAAGAGGCATTTACTTCAAATACTTCACACGGAAGGCCGATACACGCGTTCTAATCGATTTGCAAAAAATTATTGGAAACGAATGCTGCTTAGGTGTGGACAGCAAGTTTATAAACATTTACAAACGTTTGTAAATCTGTTTTCCAATGTTTCTTTGGTGTGTATAGTCTGTTCACAACTCGGGGAAGATTTCGATATATGATATCCAAATATTTACAATTAAAAAAAATACAGAAATTACAATTTGCCAGTGAATTAAAAACAGCTACTGTCTGGGATCCTCCCATTGGACAGGCTATACGTGCCTTTCTTTTTGGTTAGTTTAAACCTTTGAATAAAAAGATTAAGGAAGGAGCTTATCAAAAATCTTGATCGGCCCAGACGCGACGGGCTCCTAAAATGGCCGACTTAAATTCCGGTTTACCAGTGCCGTTCTGATTTTATTCAAAACGTGTAAAAAATTATGTATGGTAGATTCAATAATTTGTTGTTTAATTTTACGTTGTCAATAATTATTGTTGGTAGCTATTAAATTTTTTATAAAAATATACAATTCTAATAAAAATACATAAGTTATATTATTTATTACAATCATCCCATACGCTACTGAAGCAGGTAAGTTAAATTGGCGTATCCAAATTCTTTGACATCTAATCTTTGACAAGTAGTAAATAAAAGCAAAAATGCAAGAAAAAATATATAATTAGTTAATTTTAAGCGAATTTCATAAATAATCGGTTTACTACACGTTCCATTATCCCCCTCGATTTTTGACCGAGGTCTACCGCACGCTACACAACCAACTATTTTACAGTCTTTTTCGATAAGTCGCTGTCACTGTTAATTTAAGTTCTGCTACAAACAAGAAACTTCCTTCTAGATTTACTACCTTTAAACAACTCAGAAGTAGAATAAATAATAAATAACATAAAATAAGCTCAGTAAAGACTGACAAATCCACAAAATTTCAAATCAAATTCAAATGTGTGAAATGAATCGTCAAAGAGAACTGTCAAGGATTCCCACCCTAGAGTCCTCTTTCCGTCGACCATGCATGAATACATGCATAGCATTATACTCCTTTAATATTTTTATTCAAAGATTTAAACTAATCGACGTGGTGGCTGCTGAACTATTCAAAGATAGAATGACTAGAAAAACTGGCTTTATCTCAGATGGAGCTGTCTTTTCCATTCATTCTTTTTCCTATTCTCTTTTATTTTTCATTAGAAGAAAAATAGAAATTTAATAGCGGAATATTTATTTAGGCATGCTTCAATATGGAGTGCGTCAATCGGCTGAAGTTTCTTCAACAATGACCAGCGTCGAGCGTGTTCTTCAATATACGAAATTAGACGAAGAAGGACCGTGGGAGCCTTTACCCGCCGACAAGCCGCCTCTCGATTGGCCGCAGAAGGGTCGCGTTACTTTCGATCACGCTTTTCTTAGATATACGCGTAATTCTCCACCATCAATTCGGAACCTAACTGTGGAATTCAAACCTGGCGAGAAAATTGGCGTTGTTGGACGAACAGGAGCAGGTATGTGTATATTGTTTGATTATTAGTATTTAGTTTTTATTTAGAGATTTACATAATTAATCATTTTGTCGTCAAAAAACTTTTACTTTTTCTTCATTACAACGATTTAAATAAAAAAGTATTTCTTCCACCTTCCTTATAGATTCTGCATAATCTATTTGTCAATAATTCCATATTTTTCACATTTTTGCGAATTGCACACCCTGTATAACAATATACCGTGCTGGCAACTTTTACTTTTGGGTCGATATTTACATGTGTGGAAGTAAATCGCATAGGGATCTGATTAAGTCGGAGTGAGAGAAATGCGACGGTGTTCTGTTGCGGAGTTGCCACATTTCTCCGGAACACCTTTCCCTATCAAGTAAAGTAAAATCAAGATTGCCAATCGCTAATTTTTAAAAGCCTTTTTTTCGCGATAATTTAAAAGCTCATCTTTTTAACACATAACCAGGGTTGTTAAGTAGTTTATGAAGCCAAAAACTACGCGTAGTTTTTTGTATTAACTACGTTTTAAAATTTTAAAAACTTCCTTCAAAAACTACACAAAAACTACCTACAAAAATATAATAAAACATAAACAATTTAGACTTAGAAAAAAACAACGCTTTATTGTACAAAAAGCCAAAACAGCTTCATCGACAAAGCATTCACGAAACAAAAAAGCACAAAAACAAATATACAAATAATAAAAAAAATGTCATACAATACAAATCAATTCAAAAAAATTTACGTCATAAAATTACAAATAAAACATATATTATATAGAACACAGGCGTATCTAGAAAATTTTACAAAAGGAAAACTGTAAATGGATAAAATGTTATATACTATCATAAAATCAAGAGTTATAAAATATTGAATATTAAATACTAGACCTTTAACCAGTGTGTGAGATGATCAAAATTTTAAAATTCAAAATTGTTCATGATTAAACATCCACAAAAAAGTCGTTTACCGCATATAGGGCTCTCTCCAGTAAGTATGATTTCAGAGCTTTGCGGAATGCGGGAAAGAATGAAAGTGACTTGATATTCGAAGGCAAATGATTGTACATTTTCTTGGCATTGTACAGTATTGAGCCCTTGACTGGTTCTGAGCTCGGGGTTGGCAGATAAATATCGTGCTCCGCATTCCTAAGTGGATAGTTGTGAGGAGGCCTTTCCGGAATAGAGAATATGTGCTTGCGGATTAAGCAAACGGATTCAAAAATGAATAAGGAAGGAAGAGTCAGTATTTTGAAATTTTTAAAGAAATTCTGGCAGTGAGTTCTACTGTTTAGTCCCAATAAGTATCGAACTGCTCTCTTTTGAAGTTTGAAAATACGATCAAATTTTGTCGCGCAGCAAGTACCCCAGAATGGAAGGGCATAACGAAGATGCGATTCAAAAAGGGCATAATAGACCATTCTAGAGGTTGATGAGTTAAGTTCCTTAGAAACTGATCTTAGCGCTTAAACAAAAATCAAGCCAAATTCTTATCATGGAAGTATGAAGTTATATTATATTTGTATAAGTTAAACACCATCAGAAAAAAAGACAATTCTTTTTTCAACAAAAGTGTATTTTCTACGAAATACGAAGTAACATTGAAGACAAAATAAACTATAAATTCTTATAGAGAAATTCTCCATAAACATTCTCTAGGAGAATATATGATTTTTTACATCTAAAGGCACAACTTCATAATTCCCCTCTTCCCAGAAGGTATTGAGCAAGGTATGGAGACATCGACGTCTTCCAAGCATTTTGAACTACTAAGTATCAAAAATATCACATAATAAGGAACAAATTCACAAAATATAGATTTTTATTTCTTTAAATTGATCTGTGAATTGATCAACAAACAAAGTTTTTAGGTTATGTTTTCTCAGTTATTTAAAAAAACTACATTAGTTACATAAACTACACATTTACTACTCGACATTTAAAAAACTACTTGTGACATGTAGTAAATGTAGTTTATTAATTACTACGTGTAGTTTAACAACTCTGCACATAACACGCGATAACTCAAGAACCACTTTAGATATTGAAACTTTTTTTTATTTTGAAGTTCGGATCTTTTACAAGATGATTAAATAAGAAAAATTTAAAGGTTTGTTTTTTTCCATTCAAAAATGTTAAAAATCCCATCCATTTACTTTTAGTGCATCGCAATTTTCAGCAATCCTGTAACTTTTTTATTTATAAAGATTTTCACATACTGTCTGCCAAGAAAATATAGCAGAAATATTAAGAAAGTTTTTGAAAGAAACTACAATAATTATTTCTAATGGATTTCGAGATATCGATTTTTGAATTCAAAAGTTCTAATAGCGCGACCACTGTCGAAACGAACTCATTTCCACTTATTTTTACCAAAAGCACAAGTGTTTCTAACTTGAACTTAAAAATTTACAAGCTATAGGGAAACTACAACGATTCGTTAATAAATAAACAAATAAAGTATCACGAGACGTAATTAAATCATGAAGCCGAACGCATGATGTAAACCCTTCCTTAGAATTTAAGTACTGATTGGGTCGACCGTGACGAATCTGCTATATGCCCTTCTACGTCTTTTAGCAATGTGATCAGTTTCTCAGTTTATTTCATAAGTTTCGCGACGTTTTTACTGTTCTCTTTTTGTTCAGTACATCATAAACGCATTGTACTCTTCTTACATACGGAAATATCGATCCAAAACTAACCGTTACCAGCCCTTAGCATTTGTCAGCCCTTAGCGTATAAGCAATTGTGGCGGTAAGGGAACTATTACAAAAGTAAACGTATACCAAAAGTACCCCTAAAAAGCCCGTATGCTGAAAAAAGTGTCTCATATTTAACGCATAAACGTAACGGCGTAACGAATAGATATGTGTGAGTGATATTATATACTAGTGATATTATTTTGTGAGGAAAATTGCTTCTTGGCCTCAAGGGCTTATGCTCAAAGATATCCAATTAGGAATCTTCCTGATAAGAATTTCTTTTAAAAACTTCTTGTCCTATTTCGCGTGGTAGTGTGGTTTATTAAAAAAAAATATTAGGCAGAAAACCTGTTGTTGGAAGTGAAGAAAATGAATTTGCCGTAATTGGCTCTTTTATAGAAAATCCATGTATCTACAAGTCATCGTAAAATAATTCAAAGACTACCTACTTCTTCGTTTTTCTCGATAGAATAATAAACACATATTTCATAAATATTATTTATTAAACTATTGTAGGCAAATTAAATAAAAGTAGACTTTTTATAAATTTAAATAAGTCCATAAACCAATTTCGATTTTGAAAATAGCTACTAACTGTCACTAGAAACTTGCCATGACAATACTACTAGCCATCTTGATTACAATTTTATTGAAAAATCGTTTTTTATTCAAAATCTGAGCCAGATAGGTATAGGGAATCCTAATATAGTTTGAAATAGTGATGGGTTGTTATTTAACTTGTTATTTAACTAACTATCTAACTCTGTTATTTTATAACAATTATTTAGAAATAACATAACGCAACCGTTACAGCTTTTAAAAAATAACAGATATAAAATAACGACACGCAGAGATCGAGTGTTCGTGAAACGAAGTCGGCGCTCTGCACCGCCACGAAATTCGATGCTGCTCGAAGCAATTCCAAAAAACAACTAGTATGGATGGAAAACCTATTATTTCGACAACCATCGATACAGGCGGCGAGTGGGGTATGCGCTACGGCGCGGCGCGTCGTGTTGGGCTGACAACAGCATAAAAATAATAGGATATAAAAGAAGCAGCTTTTTTGAAACAGTTGCGGGCATAACGCCTGACTGTCGAGATAACAGGAGTGGGAAAGGAGCGCTGCTGCATCGGTCGATTGTCGATGGAGGCTCGCAACGGGTTGGAGAATAACGCATCAGTTGTTTTAGCTATGTTGTTTTTTTACCTGTTACGAGCATAACAGAACGGCGTTCGAGATAATCGGAGGTTTGAAACAGGTTGGAGAATAACGCATCAGTTGTTTTAGATACATATTGTTTTTCAACCTGTTACGAGCATAACGGGCGGAGGTCGAGATATTATGGCGCTGTATGTTTCAATACTTTGTTATTAAGTTTCAATATTTAAGTATTTATTTATTCTGAAAAATTTTCAGAATAATATTTTAAGATTTTTTAAAAATGTATACAGGGTGTTTTGAAAAATCTGGTCATTGATTAATCACGATCCTGCTTAAAGCCCTTGACGTAAAAAGCTGATTTTTGGAAAACGGATTGACTTTAGGGTGTAGAGGTGCGATAAGAAGGGATTTTTCGAAACTCAAATTCTAAGGGGGTGAAACCACCCTCAAATATTAGAATATTTTTTATTTAAAAACTGGTGAGTTTTTCGAAAAAACTCTTAAACACGTATATTTTATTTTGTTGTTTTACATATTTTGAGATTTTTACAAAATATATACAGGGTGTTTCATAAAATATGACCACTGAGTAATCACTATTCTGCTTAAACTGCTTGACGTTTAAAGCTGATTTTTGGTAAACGGATTGACTGTGGGGTGTAGAGGTGCGATAAGGAGGGGTTTCTCGAATCTCAAATTCCAAGAGGGTGAAAACGCCCCTCAAATATTACAATATTTATTATTTAAAAAACGGTTAGTCTTTCGGGAAAACGATTGGACACGCATAATTTATTTTGTTTTTTTACATATTTTGAAATTTTTTAAAAAATAATACAGGGTGTTCCAAAAAGTTGAGTAATTGATTAACCACGATTCTGCTTAAACTGCTCGACGTTTAAAGCATATTTTTGGCAAATGTGAGAAAATTTTATCCAGTTTGTATGTTAATGGAAATTCTTGCTTTGCTTTATCATCACCATTACAAATTAATAATTCGATGCGAACGAAGTCGCGGGTACAACTTAACAAGTATAGCTAGAGACGTGAGAAATATAAAATAAGAGACGCCCCCCGATGCGCAGTGGACATCCCACAAATTTGCTTCAATCAGATTTTTCGTAGCGTAACTGCATCTCTCTTCCGCCGAATGCGTTCTCTCTCTATCGTGTGCGCGACCGGTGCTATCCCCAAGTCTCTTCCTATATTTGTCAAACTGTACATGCTAGTTTAAGTGTAAAATTAATTCGAACTCTAGTGTGTAGTTGGTTTACTTATGAAGAATATACTACACATTTTCTTATATTGCTATTTTTTGACCGCAAATGGTAAAATCATAACGAAGAGCTTCTCGCCCGTCGAGTGAGATGCACCCTGTACACTGCTACGCAATTCAGAATCTACGCGGATCGAGGGGTAGGGCGTAGGTAGATCGGAATTTATAGATATAGACGAGTGGCGGCATTTTGGCTTTTTTATATCGCAATTTGTAAACAGCGCTTATTTGTAAACAACCCCCGTTTTTAGAGAGGTATTTTAGATAACAATCGATATTTAGAAATGTTATGACACCCTGAAATACTACCACCGAGCACGTCATTGTTGCAACTGCGTTAATACGCCTGGCGGTGACCGCCTCATATTCTTTCAGATATTTAGCAATAAAATAAAGAAACCTGTTATTTTTAAGCTGTTATTTTAAGCTGTTTTTTATAAATAACTATAACAGTTTCAACTGTTATCTAAAAATAACAGCTTTGCCCATCACTAGTTTGAAAGAGCATTTAAATCTGTTTTGACTTATTTAAAAAAATACGGTGTTGCATTTGAAATAACAAATTTTTTATGTAAAATAAATCCTTAAAATTGATCAGCTATTTTTGGTACCCCTGGATACATTTAAGGAAGGAATAACATTTTTCTGTAAAGTTTATTTCTCTACCTTTAAACTCAGCACAAGAACTAATTTTGAATAGGTACAAGGTGTTACTAATCTGTTCTATTGTAGCATGCAAATTTAAATATCTTTCAATATCTCAAAATCCAAAGATTTTAAACATATTTAACCCTTATAATAAATACTTTTTTTTGGGCCCAAGAATCCAAAAATGAAATAAAATACCGGGTGTTCCATAAGAAAAAATATAACTTTGGTATGAATCTTAGTTCTGAAACACCCTGTACATTTCAAAATAATTTTAAATTGTGCCATTACCTCCCCACATATACCCATAAAATATTTTGTTTCTACATCTTTTCGTTTTCGTATAATCAACCGAGGCGAATGAGGTGCGCTACCCTGTATGTAGTACTTGGTAGGTCTCTTTACATATTTTTTGACATTTTTGAGTTGTGACCAAAATTTAAAAATATAGATGCCCTTCTCATATGCTTCTCATACCAACAGGACTTATTTAAACAGACATGCTTTTCTAAACCATATACCATATTCTATCTACGGATGCGACGACAGGGGTGGAACGCTTACTACTTCATACGTTTGGTAAAAATAAAAGTTTGGTAGTCACTTCCATAATAACCGCAAAACGAGTGGATTTGTAATTTCAGTTTTCCCAAGATTTATCATACAAAGATTAATCAAACTATGTGAGTAGAGGGAGATGGGGGTTTCTGCGCCAGGAGCCGGAGCAAGAGCAAGGAGCCGGAAGTGACGTCATCAGCTAAGAACATGTAAAATAGGCTAATAAACAAGAATAAACAGGTTTGAACCGCGGTGAACCGCTTTGAACTGCTTTTTAGCTTAACACAACAGAGCTGTTCATTTTTTGTTCAAACCTTTTAAAGCCGTTCACCGCGGTTCAGACTTGTTTATTCTTGTTTATTAGCCTATTTTACATGTTCTTAGCTGATGACGTCACTTCCGGCTCCTTGCTCCTGCTCCGGCTCCTGGCGCAGAAACCCCCATCTCCCTCTACTTATGTGGATGATTTTTAACAATTATTTTCAAATCTTCCTAACAAGAAAACTAACTGAATATAAGCTTTCAGTAATTTGACGTGAGTGTCTCATTTTCTACCTAAACAAGGCATCTCATATTTACACCACTTGACACTATGTAATTGTTTTAGGAAAATCATCACTTGTTGCTACACTATTTAGATTAGCTACTGTTGATGGCCTTATAGCAATCGATGCTATTGATACTGGTAAAGTAGGTTTACGCATCCTGAGAACAAATATATCAATCATTCCTCAAGTGCCCATATTATTTTCGTCTAGTTTAAGGTTAGTTACATTTTAAAACGTTATTGCTACATATTTACCGGATATTTTTTAAAAGTCTATATTAATTAAATAACATATCTTTAGACATAATTTGGATCCTTTTGAGAAATGTACAGATGAACAATTATGGAAAGCTTTAGAAAGGGTCGAACTAAAACAAAATGGTGTCGGATTAGATACAATAGTTACTGAGGGAGGAGGAAACTTCAGCGCTGGACAGAGGCAATTAATTTGCTTAGCTAGGGCTATAGTGAGGTATTTTTTTAATACTACTTATTTAAATTAAATTATCAAGATATAAACAATCAAATCTAAACATATATTTCGTATATTTTTAAACATTTGTACTAATTCTTATGTTTTGTATAAAATTTATAGAAATAATAAAGTCTTAGTGATGGATGAAGCTACTGCCAATGTAGATAGGCACACTGATGCTCTGATTCAAAGAACCATTAGAGAAGCTTTTGAAGACTGTACTGTTATTACAATTGCTCACAGGTAACATTATATTATTATTTGCTATACTAGTTCCTACAATACCATGTATATATTTAGATTAAATACAATTGCGGATTATGACAAAACACTAGTAATGGATGCAGGAAAATTAGTAGAATTTGCTGCACCACATGAGTTGCTTCAAGATCCTAATGGGTACTTTGCTAAAATGGTTGCTCAGACTGGTCCAGTCATGGAATCTAGACTAAAAGAAATTGCTAAAGAGGCTTATGAAAAAAATAAGGCAAGGTAAATACGATATATACTGTCTTATAATAAATATTAACTTTTGACAAGTTTTTATACCAATTTTTAATCAATGACGTCTAATAAATTGGATTTTGATCAATACATTAATAAAATTTACCATTTTGAAACCAATTTTTATTTATACTTGTTGAGTATAAATGTTAAATATCTTAAATTCTTTTGTTTGTAAATTATTTCTCACTTTGATTTATTATTTCATTTTAATTTTAAGGATTACCGTTAAAGAAGAAAACGTAGTTCAAAATGGAAAAGCTGTGGACAAAAAAGACCAATAATTGGCTAAATGTGTCAATTTTTTTGTTATTACTCTTAGGTTGTAAATAATTTATTTCCTACATATTATGATTTAAAATTCAGTTGTTATTTAGTTTTCTGTAGATTCTTTGAAAAAAATTTATAAAAATCATTAAAACAAAAAAACATAAAAAATATGACAACTAAAATCTAATAAAACAGTTAAGCAAATATATTGGTATTAGGAGATACAATTATTATAAAAGAAACGTATTACTACATTATTCTTTAAGGTACTTTATTTTTGATGTTAAAAAAATCATCTTTTTATTGAACCTGCTGATATCAATTATTTGTTGAAGTCAAGTGAAAACTGTAAATGTTCAACAACCTTTTTTTTGAGAACGAATCAAAAAATTATTGTTTTAAAATGTTTAGTAATTTTATTATATTGTAGTGTTTACTTAGCTGTTGTGATTGTAAAATATAGTTTACAAATGAACTAATAAAAAAATCAGGGAACATGGTTTATCTAAAAACCAATTATAAATCTACCAAAAATTGTATGCTTTATTCTTTGTACATAATTCTGTGCCAGTTACTTTGTACAAACTATATAATTATTTCTGCAATAACGCTTGTTTTAAATTTTTATTGATGTATTATATAAATAATATTTATTTTATTAATCAATTACACCAAAGTAATATTTGTAAAATTTGTTATAGATTTGAATGTTTTATTAAAGAGTATTTGAAATAATTCTTACATGGCTTATTTTTATTTGATAAAAATATATGGTCGGTTTGCTGCAAAAACTCGTCAAGTTAAAAATGTTAGTTGGCAGAAAAGTGAAAATTAATAAATATTTCTAATTTAAATGTGTATTTAGCCATTTATAAATATACATTATAAATTGTTTTCTATTGTTCAGTTTTAAAATTAAAATGTCCCGCTTGATCCAAAAGTTTTAAGATCAAGCAGGCCTTGACATCAACAGTTAAAAGAATGTAATTTTCCATAAGAATCGTTTATCTGTCATCATATAAAGCAAGCTTAATAAGTATACATTCTGATTATGCTGTACTCTCATAAAAATATATTAACTTAGTGAGGATTTGATGAGACGTTGTTATGAACCAGCGATATGTTTTTTATTCACCATATTATATAATATTACCTACCATATTATCTTAGTCTAAAACAGAATCTCAAAATGTATTTAAAGTATTTTTATATTATGAACAATTATTTCAAATACACTTCAGTTTATTTTATAAATAATACTGGGTATATTCTTTCTATAAAAAGTAGTTTTTAATTAGGTTAATTATATTTTTATTAAGTCTACCCTTAGCTTTATTCAAACATCTTTTTTTCTACTTTCCAGTCTAAGGAGTTTATTGTGTTCCATTTCTGATCCTAAAATATATAAGAAATGATTATAATAAATAAAATATATAAGAAATGAAAATAATAACCATCTATCAGAGCATCTATCAAAGAATGAAATCGAAGTTATGTTACCATAGAAACACCTTTTGATTTTTAACACTTTAACCATATCTTCATGTTTTTTTAATTTTCTCTAAAACGATATGGAAATTTGAAAAAGTATAAAGGGAATTACCCATTTTAGAACAAGTAATTTTTTTACGAAGAATGCATTTTTCTCAATATATATTTTTATTTAAACAAAAGATTATCGTGGGTACTGTAATAAAAAAGAAGAAAGAATTTATCGGGCAAGCCTACAGTAAGATTAGTCATGAGACATGACTACCTGTAGACACTAAGTGTTTCTGCTTTCCGGCTTCATCAATACGGGAGGAATTTAAGCTGGAAAAATCAGCAATTTGCTGATTCCGGATTTTTTCCGGAGATTGATGAAGCCGGAAGGCAGAAACACTTAGTGTCTACGGGTAGTCATGTCTCATGACTAATCTTACCCTAGGCTTGCCCGATAAATTCATTCTTCTTTTTTATTTTTATTTATTTATATTATTAAAGGTAGTTTTGTTTTTACTAATACTACATTAAATCTAAACATAACAGTAGCAATGATAAATGATAAATCATTATACTCATATGAAAAATTGTGTTCCTTCATGATGGGAAATTTTAAAAAATAACAGCTATTAGGTGGCTGATTTACACTATTATCGGCAATATTTTTATTGAATAAGCTGTAATTTGGAAATATTGCGAAATTATGTTTAATTTTTGAATAAAGCTTAGGCATTATGATTAAATTACATAGTGAGAGTTCATTTAAATTTAAACTCAAGTTGATCCCGAAATAACAAAAGTTTAATATATTTGTATATACGTATAAAAAATTGTTTTTATAATTACTATAATTTCTTGTACCTTATTTTACTTATGTAATTCTATTCTTTCTTGTACCTTTAATTAGAGTCAATAATTCAAATTAACATGCTGTATACTAAAATTTAGGCTGTTTTATTTAATAATGTTTTACATTAGAGATTTTTTGGGGTTATATTTTAATGAACGACTGTTATTATGTAGCAATATTTAGTCAGAATTTTGTTGTTATAAGACCAACATACAGGTTGTAATACTTCGTCTACATTTAACAATCTATTGTACTGAAAAAAAAATTGTTTTTATTAATATTAATTGTTTAATCAAGTCTTAATCTTCCTTTTTTAACGCCTAACGCCTAACCTATGAAAGAGCTTTAATCACATCTCTAATCAGTCCACTCCTGGACAAAGGCCTCTTTCATAGGTTTCTTGCAAAAATCTTTTTAATCATATTTTTATTAGTTAAATGGGCCTTATTTAACTGGGTAGTAAATAATTGTGATTGTTTTTTATAGTGAGCAGGAGTAGGATATAATAGACTTTTGTTTGCTATTTATTTACTAATAAGGAAAGTATATAACTTGTGTGTATAATAAAACAAATTTAATTTCCAAAATTTTAATTTCATAATTTCACGTATTAGAGTACTTTAAATGTTTAGTAAGTAAGAATAAACAATATATCACCTAATATTACAGAGTGTTTCAAAACAAAACCTACATAATATATTTTCATAATTGGCGATTACTCTCCAGTAGCATAATTAAATATTTCATCATGTACTTAGATATAATCATTCTACAATTTCTATTAAGCTGTATCATTCTCAGAATATGATATTTTAACTTTTTACCTCCATTTTCATTTAGTATTATTATTAGATAATTATAATTTATTCATTTCATCCGCCTTTATGTTGGGTAGTTGGTAGTTACTTTGGTTTTAGATCTTAATTGTGACATAAAATAAACAATATTTTTTTGAAATTGCTTTTTAACTCATTTATTAACTATTATTTTATTTTTATATGTATATTAGTACTATTATATAGTACTGCTTAGGGAGCCCGGTAGGTAACTTAAAATCGTGTTAATAACACCACCCTTCAATATTATTTACTAAAATTAATTTATATGATTTTAAGAAAAAAAATAAACACCGAACTTCACAATTATTGAAATCTTTTTCTTATTATTTTTTAAATGATATTCCCTATTTATAGAATCCGAAAACAGAAGAAAATATTGATATATTAGTTCATTCTACATGCTCATAATTTTTGTATTCGATTCAACTCCTCCTTTTAGCCTCCATAAATAAAATTTAAAGTCCATAAAATTGAAATGTATTATACTCATCCACAACATCCTAGAAACAGCAGAACGGCGTAATGACCTTGAATAGATTTCCAATAATTCTATTGGTTGAAATTTTTGACATATGAATTTTCCAGCCAATAGAATTGCTGGAAATCGATTCAAGGTCGTTACGCCGATACGCCGTTCCGCTTTTTCTAGGATGGTGTGGATGCACCCTCATTCGATTTTGATGATGACTTTAATTATCATTTGTGAATATCCTTTGAATTCAAAGGTGATTCAAAGTGAATATCGAAAACATTTTTTGGTTGTAAATTTGTAAATTGCTGTATTAATTGACAACTTGCAACCTACTAGAGCAGTGATTTCCAACCTTTTTGTACCTGCGCCCTCCTTTAAAAAAATTGTTGCGCCCCATTAATTTTTCTAACAAACTAATTTCATAATACTCAACTGATATTATAATTTATTTAATGGGCTACAAAATAATAACAGTAGCTTTGAAAGAACAGAAAGAACAACACTGTTGTTTGCTTGTGCGCCTTGGAACAACTATAAAAATATACAATAAAAAATCACTGTTAGAATGAAATCACTTATGAATGATTATGCAGGACTAAAATTGAAATTACGTTACAATAAAACTATTCACCATTGCTAAAAGAAAGTTGATTCGTTTAATTAATTTGCAAACGTCCACGTTTTATCTTATTTTGTGTTATATTTTTTCAGGTACATTTTATCATATATAACATATAAGCCGTTTTATGTATAGGCTTTGTTTTGCCTTATATTTCTTATCACAGTATCTTTACACACACTGTGATAACAAATATAAGACTAAAAGGAGCTATAATATCATCCTTAGGATAATCATATCGATTCCAGGTAAATTTATTGTTAGTATTAACACAGATTATACAGATTATAAACTTTGTTTTTTCTTTATTGTTTTTCGTGGTTCCAATTTTCGGGCACTAGTTAGGTTACTAGTTTGCGCACAGAGCACGCCCACTTATGGCCTCTAAAATTGTGCACAGCGCCTGACCGGCACAGTTATTAGAGAGATATCGGAAAACCGAATAGCGTAATGCAGTATTTACTCATACTTCTATACGCGTACCTTATCAGGGTTACGATTAGCGATGGGAACTATCGAATGAATTAGACTATCGAATGGTTACTGAATGAATGATTTCAACTATCGAATGGTTTTATTCGAATAAAATCATTCATTCATTAGTATACTAAAGCATATGTGACAACCTCGCCGTGCGACTAAATGGTTATCGTTGAGCCACGACTATCGAATGCTTTTGATAAATGAAATTTAGTATTCGTTTGATTTTTGTGTGCGTCAGTGCCTTATTAGTTCTTCCAAATTTTTATAACTTCGCCTTGTAAATACTGTGCTATTTTTGCGTTTATTAAGATATTTAAAATACTAAAATAGTAGTTTTTTTTAATTGACGATTGTGTGCGAAGTGGTCAAAATTTTTCCGAAAATTTGTGTGATTTTCCGTAGCCCGATCTTTCAATTATTTAATTTTATATGGTATATATGGTCTATTTTTTAATGGGAAATTTTGAGATGTAGCAATTTTTAAGAGAGATGAGATGAACTTAGAATTAATTTTAAAAATAGATACATATTTGTATTTTAGATGTTTTAATAATAAGAATTAGTTGAACTTAATAATCATATTTAAGTAATGTGGTTAAGTAAATGTGTGGTTATCGAACTCAAACTATGGGGTGTGAAAATTAAATTGAAAGTTTTACACGTGCCAATTTAAAAAAAAGTTAAAGATGTTTGTATTTTGTTTATGCTAATTCTCTTACATGTAGTTTTTTGCGAAGAAATATTTCATTTATTTTTTAAAGTAAATGCCAGTAAAAGTAAATATTATTTTTAAATAGTAATATAAACTACCTAATATAAATAATTTTGATTTCTAATTTTTTATTTATATTTTCCTTCCATTACACTGCATGCTTAGAAAATTAATAAATGTTTATATTTCATGATTTTAAAGTTTGTTGTTAATATAACAAATTAGTTCTGTAATTATTATTATTTAATAAACCAACGTTGCCAAAAAATTTAAAGACTATATTATTTTTAAATAGGATCTAATA